GCGAGTTCCGTAACGGCAGAGTTACAGAAAAGTGGGGCTGACAAGATCTTAAAAAAAAAAAAAAAAAAAAGGTTTGTAGCAGCTTTTAATTTATCTTTTCATTAAAAAAAATTATCCCAAGAACTGTTGTCACATTGGAGCGAGTCTGTGTGATATAAGTTAATCCTGTCCTTCACGGGGAGAAGGAAGAAGGGGGTGGTAGCACGGCTAATGCTGCTTCCCCTCCGCCTGCTCTTCCAAGTGGGCAACCTGCTCCGCCAGCTCAGAGACCTTGGCTTGACAGTCAAGCAGGTTGTCCTTCAGTCCCGTTATTTCCTGAGAATGGGCAGCCAGGGTCCCGTTCATGTGGTCCATATAGTCCCACAGACTGCCCGTGTGTTTCTCCAGTTCATCCCTGATGCCATCCAGGCTTCCCGTGACGGCACCCAGCCTGCCGCAGACGCTCTCCACCCGGGCCACCCGGTCATCAAAGTGAGCAATCTCCTGCTGCAGGTCGTGGGCCACGTTCTTGCAGGAGCTCAGGTCACTGACGATCCTGGCTTTGAGTCGCTCCAAGTCTCCCTTGAGGTTCAGGACACGTCGGTTGCTGAAGAAGAGCTGGGAGCCTTGGTCGTTGACTTTCTCCTGGATGGAGTGGACCTCATCCTCGATCTTCCGCTCGTGCTCATCCAGCGAGGAGTTGATGTGTGTCATGGTGTCCGAGTACTGGGAGACAGAGTCCTTCAGCCCTGTCAGAGACTTGCTCACGGTGTTCAGGTTGATCTTTAGCAAGGTGATCTCCCCTTGCAAAGCCCCCGATGCTTCCTCCTCGATTCGCCGCTGGATCTCCAGTATGGTGGCATTCAGCTTGCGCAGGAGATCGTAATTGCTGTCCATCCGGAGGAGCAGGTCCTGGTTCTTGTTCTGGCAGTCTTCAATCTCTGTCCGGAAGGTCTCGACATCTTTGGAGGCAGAGGTGCAGCCCAGGGAACAAGTGCTCTCCAGCGTGATGAGGCGATTCTGCAACACCTCCAGTGTCTTGTCCGTCCGTTTCCTC